AGAGATTTTTTTTAAAAAAATTCATGCAAATTTATTAAGAAGTGATTTGTGCATCTTTGACTCATTTATTAGTGGTATTTATTAATCTCCTTTTACATTACTTACTGAGGTGTATAACTTTCCTTTGGAGTCCAAGCATAAGAAAGCACGACTTTTCATGTGTAGGACTGAGAAACAGCTTTTATACTGGTCCTTCCAGTAGCTGAAGTTGCCTGTGTGATTTCAGAGAAACATCAACAATCAGTACACGTTATAACAATACTAATGAAATCTAACGAAACTGCTGAAGTACCTTCCGAACCTTGACGAACAGGTTTCTGAGCTCTTTTGTTGCCTTTCTTCCTGATGAAATAGGTTTTTGCTTCAAGCCCTTGGTGTGTTTCTGGGTCCACTGCATTGGCACTAGAGGGTATGGATGTCCGCTGCAGATGGTAACATGTGGCTGTAGTGTGGAGTGTGAGTACAGCCCAGCAGAGGAGAAGGACCGAGAGCATGGTCAGTCTGGGTAAGAGTTTGCATGTGGAATCCCTGTGTGTCTGTATTTATTTGGGTAAAAAAAAAAAAAGTCCAAAGTTCTTATTTGCATACTGAAGTGGCCTGTAATTGGCCATCTCCTGTTTGGAGGCTGCAACTAGAGCTGACGTAACTCTGCTCAACCTGATGCAATGTTATCATATTATGTCATGTGGATAATTTGAGGACTTCACTGGTGAAGTTAATATCTAACATTCCTAATAGCTACAACAGACTTCAGTCCTCAGGAGCACAGGTAGTAGTGATAACAGTTGCTGACATTTAGATACTCTGTTATTTTAACATTTAAACACTGCTTTAATTGGTATGATTGTCAGTGTGTCACATATCCAAATCTGATGGAATGGAAATCCCATATTGATCTCTTAATGGTACACTCTTCGGGGGAAAAAGGTTCTTTAAGGGTTTATTAGATAAATAAGTGTTATTAGCTTCATAAAACTTCACACCATTTCTGATACAGAAATACTCCATTTTATGGCATTAAAAACTATAACACTTGTCCAGATGGACAACGAATGAACCAATTGGGTGCTTTGACACTTTTTTTTTTCCTCAAGACAAAGCATCAACTGTAGCACACTGTAACCATAACAATGCTCCTAACAATACTAGATGTTAACTAGCCTAGTTTGCAATCTAAATTGTTTTATTATTAGTCATTCATCCATCTTCAGTAAACACTTTATCCTGGTCAAGATTGCAGTGTATCCGGAGCCTATTCCGGGAACACTGGGCGTGAGTCGGTAATCACTGGACTCCATTCACACACTCTCTCACAGACTCATTCACACCTAGGGGCAATTTAGCTCACTATTCCACCTACCTGCATGTTTTTTTGGGAGGTGGGAGGAAACCAGAGAAGCCAGAGGAACGGACAATAACCTGTAGCTCAGGATCGAACTGTAAGGCAGCAATGCTACCTGCTACACCACCGTACCACCAAATGAAGTGGCTTTCCTAAATTAAAGCGGTTCAATACATTTCAAACCTGTTATATAATGAACCTGGCATCTCATTCAGGGTGTATTCCTACCTTGTGCCCAGTGTTCCCGGGACAGACGCCGGATCCTCCGCGACCCTGATCAGGATAAAGCGGTTCCTAAAGATAAATAAATGATTCTTTAAATTAAGTTTTATTTTAAGCTCATTCTTAACAAAAATGGCTGTTTTCTCTATTTTCATGGAAGTACTTTAAGCACTTCACTGCAGGCACCTTGTAGTAATCATTTCCCTCAAAGTGCGTGTGGTTCTCATGAATATGTACACATTGGCCAGCAGATGGTGATCAAACTGCATTTTCACTCAGCAGTCTAGACTTGTCACTGTCGACTACCAAGGAGCTTGTATTGAGTATTGAGAAGTATTGAGAAAGCACACAACACCTTTAAAAAAAACAAACTTTTATTATCATCTCAGTAATACAGTTGACTGCTGTGCACAGCACATACGTACAAAAATAAAAGTAAAACATATTTCTTATATTAGAACTCTGACTCCTTTTTTTTTCTCCAGAAACTAAATGATTGGCGAAAAAAATCTGTCCTCTTACAATCGTTTCAACTAATCAGAACTAAGGCAGGAGGTGAGGTATATGTTAAAAAAGAGGAGGGGAATTTAGAGGAAGCACAGTCCCCTCAGTGCAGGAATACAAAAGCAGGAGAAAATGCTACAAGAGGCTTCACACACACATGCATGACCCTTCACTCGCTATCTGTCACACTGCTCAGGTCACTGTAGTGAGTACAGAACAAGAAATCCAGTAAAACTTGCAAGAGACAAACCCATTTCAGTAGCTCAGTGGTTCTTTTTTTTTTTTTTTTTGGTCGATGTAACACGTTTCTTCACTGAATCCATACTAGATGCTTTTCACACCTCTTAAAGGTGCAGTCTGTAATGTTTAAATGTGTTTATAAACCTGTTGTAATCAGTGTTTCTAAGATATCTTAGAAATACACATCATCCACAAAATTACCATGCTTTTGTTTATATTTTAGAGGTTACCCCTGCCCTCTGCTGGACACCCCGAGTTATGTATCGTTTCAGCAGAGGTGGGGTCAGATAAGGGTTAAACATGACAATATTTTTACTACATTTGCAGTCCACCTCTGTGTCAGCAGAGGGCTCTAAACATTACACAGTGCTCCTTTAATGCAATGTCCTTGCTATTACCCTTAGTCAATAATTCATTATGGGACAGCTTAAAATGAACCACATTGATGAAAACGCAGTAATTGTGATTATTATTATTATTTTTGTAAAATCAAGAATTATCATATTGCATGCCTACATTTGGGTACAAAGATTTGAAAAAGCATACTTTTTTCCAACTTAGATCCATTATGACCAGCACTTTATATAAAGGCAAGAAAGTGACTATAGCTGATATTTTATTTTTTAAATGACACATATATCTGAATTTAGATATAAAATATGTGGCCATTGAAACTAAAAACCCCTTATAAAGAACTGCTTCATAGTGACTTCTCATCAGAGTCACCGATTTCTTTCTGGTATTCCGGTACACAGGGCTGAGGAATATGATAATATCATGAGAATTGTAAGTATTTCTATAATAACGACTAACTCCACAGTTTAACTTTTAACTCCTTTTGCTTGTTAAGTTATTTATTTTTGTCAAACTATAGTAATTGACACATGGTTGCTGTTGTTATTGTTTTGCTGGCACTTTGTCACCTAAATATCATGATATACTGCAAGCATCTTAAAATATACTAGAAATTATCTTTAAATAATATGATATGATATTTTTTGCCACATCGCCCACCCCTACAGCTACACCATTCCTGCGCCCTAGTGCCAGAGAGGGCAAAACGAGACACAGCCATCTGGTTCCTTATGCCATGTAAGACGATCTGTTCTCAGCAGAGCTGCAGTAGAGGAACCCAGCACTCTCAAACACACTGCAGATGCCACGCAGATCAGAAACCCCATTCTGGCTCATGCAGACCTTTTCTCGTGTAAAGGATATTGCACCAAATAATCTCACATGCTGCATTCACAAGTCACGATCAGATTATTTAAACCGGTACCATAGCTGTTTGTCTTCTCCCGTCCAACTTTAGCCTTAGTTTTATTTATGCAGTGTTTTTCAGAGGAGATGGCACGCTACTATTTTAAGTCGAATTGCGTAACGTGTGTGTGTGTGTGTGACCGCTTGGAGAGGGGGGTGTTCTAAAAATACATTCCAAGTTTAAGTACTCTAATACCCTGACTTCAACTCGTAAGCCATTAAAATGATTGGATTCAGTGATGCATGAATTGTGCTGACCAAATTCTTTAAGCTGAGTCAGCTCTCTGCTTCAGTTTTTGTGTAAGTGCCTAGTGTTGAAAGAGATAAGCAGATAGGAAATAAAATCTTAAAGTGACATCCTGATTGGTTTTACCGTTTCAGAATAGGTTTCAGGTCAAGCTTGGCATTTCGCTGGCAACTCATGCTGCAAAAAATAGTTTTGGAGGAAAACCTGCTGCAGGGGTGGACAAATCACTAGCAGATTACAGATCCGCAATATCAGTTTTTCATTCACAGTTGGCCTCAAGCAGCCTCAGTGGCTGCTATAATTATATAACTTTTTTTTTTTTTTTTTTTTTTTTAACTTCACTCATCCAACATCCTGAGAAAGAAAAAAACATAACGCTTTCCATGATGCCCATATTTATCAATCATTATAACTGTGATTATAATTATTTGTATGTTGGTAATAATTCCTTTTCCAAACTCTAATCTCATAAAGCTCTAATAATGTGCTGTGTTTTATAAGTAATCCTTTACTTATAAAAGTAAAAAATTACTAATTTGTAAATGTTATTATTTAAAATCAGTTGTAAGCATAATAATTTATGAATATGAGCCTCTTAGACAGTGTTATCAGAAAAACTCTACACCCTTTTAACTTTCGCAAAGAGAAAACTTTTTTTTTCATCTGTTTGTATAAATGTTTGTTTTTGTTGTGTTGTTGTGAGGTGCGTGACTCTTATCTGAATCCCTCTACCTGCTGCACTACATACACGATTTTAGGGACAGTGGGGGCCCCAGGCCGGAAAATTCAAAGGGCCCTCCTAGCATTTCTCCTCTTTATTGCCATTTTGTTATCCTAGATGCCTTTCAAAATAATCAGTACAATGAGCCAACTAGAGGATAACTGTCTGAAGGTGTTAGTGTTATATTAAATATAGTGCTAGATCAAGCTGCCCAATCTAGGCTTTTATACTCTGGATATACTTTAAAAGGCCAATGATATCAAACCAATTTGAGTTGTTGCTTTTGTTCCTCTTTCGGCTGCTCCCGTTAGGGGTCACCACAGCGGATCATTGGTCTGCGTATTTGATTTGGCACAATTTTTACACCAGATGCCCTTCCTGATTCAACCCTCCCCAATTTTAACCGGGCTTAGGAGCGGCACTGAGAGTGCACTGTTGCACGCAACCCCAGTGGCTGGGGTCGGTTCCCTGGCGGGGAATCGAACCCGGGCTGCAGCGGAGAGAGCGCCGTGACCTAACCACTAGTCCTCCAGGGTCACATCAAATCAATTCGTGTAAAATGACAAATTCTACCAAGAATGCTAGCTAAATAATTAACATTGCATGTTCCAAACTGAGTGCCAACTTGTAGCTAGCTGTCTGCTTGCCAAAATGACGTTTGCCGAACTGTACATTACTTTATGGCTTAGCCTACAGCTGTCATCCTTAATTATTTTGTTGTTAGATGCTCACCACTTATCAAGGTTCTGCTTCCTGTTTTCCTCTTCCTGTTTTCTCGATCGTTATTGCCTTCCAAGCTCTCATTTTGAAAAGTGTGGCAGCTGAAAATAAAAATTGCACAAGTCCCAAATGCCAACAAGAAGGGTTCCTGGTATAGCATTGCATTTTACCCATCAGAGATTTTTACTGGAGTTCTACATGTTGAGATTTTCATGGCCTGAATGTCAGCCTTCAGGGGACTCATAACACAGTGCCCCAAGCAATTGTCTGCTTTACCTATCCTGCAGCTATGCCTCTGGGTAGAATCTAATTTTTACTAGGCATATTAATTAGGTTGAACGAAGGCTAGACCAATTTTCCAGGATGCAGAAACAGTGACAAAAGTGCAGCACAGCATATAACTGTTCTATATCTCTAATGCTAGCTTAACATGCAGTTATCTCACAAAAATAAAGACGCTAGACGTTTTTACAGCAACCACAGAACACTGCAGCTAATAGCTGAACTGTTAGCCAAAGACTTTTTTGGCTTTTTGTCAAAGGGCACAAACAATATGATGTAACCAGAGACAGAGTTACATAAAATCATTCCTCAGAGGGATTCGAATACAAACTTATTTTCCATAGTCTGTAATAATGCACATAATTAGCTCTTTATTCTTTCAAATTAAACTACATTACTTGCCAGTTTTTAGCCTAGCTTTGAGTTGCCCATAGGCTAGCTAATGAATTTATGATTTGTCCACCCCTGAACTCGGTCTTGCTGTCTAAAAGTAATGCAAAATGTACATAATGGAGCCATACTAATAATTTAATCTATGGCAAAAATTTCAATTTTTGTAGCCTGAGATGTTTGCTTTTCACATACTAGTTAAATGAGCAAAGTATCCTCATCTTTAAAAAAAAATTGCTACATTAGAAACCAATTCCAGCTCATAAAATCCAACAAATCCCAAGATCAACCCAATTTCTTTTACTTGATACTTCATAAACAGATGATGATTTCAGTTCTGAGGTCATTGGCCATGGTACAGTTCAAGCTAAAATAAAAAAGCCTCCAGTGTCTTGAACTGTCCTCGCCATGAAGGATTAAAGGATCTTCCTCAGCTTGAGTCTCCAATACAAACGCATGCAAGCTGCTCTTATTTCTGGCAAGTCCCAGATTCTCTGATATCTAGCTGATCTAAGTAAGGAAACAGCATGAAATGAAGCTACTCACAGCCCTCTAGGAATTGGGCTGAAGCCCCCAGAGTGGGTCATCTCTGTTACAGCAGGATGCAAACATGCAAATAAAAAAATGCCACAGTTTAGGAAGCTAAGGCACCACTGTGCAAGAAAGGCAGCAGTCTCAAATGCCGTCTTCTCTCTTGCAAAATGGTGGAACAGATCAAAATCAAAGTTAAATAGTTAAACATTTCTTTATATCTTCCCCCCCGTGTGTGACACGCTCACACCTTTCCAAGCCGGACGTAGCTCTTTGAGGTAATAAAACGTATCTGTTTCACTTCTGAAAGCTGGACATGTTAGTCATACCGATGACAGGGTAAGGTTTACACACCAGTTATGGCAAGCACCCATAAAAAGTGAGAGGGGGCAAAAAAAAGCTCCTTGTCCCTCATATAATCTTAATAGAAATGATAAGCAGCAAAGAATGGCATGTACACAAAGATCAGACACACAGCTACCCATATATACATATATTTCATTAACGAGAATAAATACTATAATTACGTGTTTTGTATCTTTTGATTGCAGTTCATTTTTCGTGCCTTGTACGTATGTATAAGTTACCTGCGAGAACGTCCAACATGTGCAAAAAGAGTGAGTTATTGCCAGTCTCGCTCATAATCGAGGGAGGAAGTGCGTGACAGTCATAGCCGGTGTGGCCTTGTAGCCTCTCTTCAGGCGGCCATGTTTGCTCAGGGCGATGTAGAAGCCCTTATAAATGGAAGACTCATAGGCGTTGTAGTTGTTGGGAAGCAATGTCTCTTTGAACTTGCATTCATCCCGGAAGACTCTCTGAAATGAAGTTGGGAAGGAGATGGTCAGTGGACCGCAGCCCAATTTATCAACTAAAGACTTCTTGCAGAATGTATAGCCTAGAACCATGGTTCCCAAAGCGGGGTCTCCAGGGACTCCATAGTAAGGGGGTCTATGATCATCTTCATTCACGAATTAACGTTTGTAGCAATGTTGGTTGCATACCGATCAGCAGATTCAGTGGTGTTGTAAAATATCTAATCGTCGCCTTATGAATCGAATAGTATTGTATCGTAACAGATTCAGTGGTATCGTCAACTTTCGAATCATTGTCTTATGAATCAAAATACCAAATCATTGGTTTGTGAATCTAAATCGTATCGTGTACAAGCCTGAGGTTTACACGTTTATTGTACACATTTAAATACTACATCTAATGTTCTAATGTTTGCATAGTTTATGAAAGGATTATGCTCATAAAGTACATCTGTATTCGGGGGTCTGTGGAATGAATGAGTCTCTCACTGAACTAATTTGAGAAACTCTGGCCTAGAAAGAGTCTCAAATGTCATCTTCATTCCCAACTGTTTTTTTGGGGAAAAAAACATCACCTGATTACTTTTAGGACAGGCATACAGTATATCTCTAATTAATACTCTCTTTCTTTCTCTCTATCCTTGTCACTGAGGTTGTACCTTCAAGGGTACATCTTTTGCACCTTTAGTGCATATCTTTTACCTGAAAAGATGCACATAGTGTATTACTCTGAAAGCTCCTTAAAGTAATTATATGTACCTTAGATATGCTGCATTCACATTAGTATGTAAAAGATACTAAAGCTAAATAAGATGTTCCAACCCAGTAACAAGGAAATGTAGTTTAATCCTTTTTTCCTGAAAGTGTATTAGCCAAATGTATATTGGATACATAAAATACATAACAACACTACATCATAGTATTAGTTATGTCATAACCATAAAATATTAGTTACAGAACTAATGTTATTAAGCCTCTTAATATTGATTAAAATGCGCATTAAACATCAGTTAATAATCATTAAAGCCTGACCACAAGCACACACACAGGCTCATTGTACTGATGAAATGCAGGATATTGGAAAACCATTTTTGTATGAGCAACCAGGCATTATGGGTAAGGAATAACGTGCATACCTACCGTTGCGTACAACCTTCCCCGGCGGTTCATTGCGACAAACAGCTCACTTTTCAGCCCATACAGACTCACCACTCCTCTCTCCACCGCTGAGATCTCTATTAGACCTGATTAACCACAACATGGACAGTTACGCATGATGACACGCACAGAGTCTGAGCGGCTAAAATGATTTATTCGTTCATGCCTACAGGGCATGCTTCCTACTACATGCTGCTCGTTTGTAAAAGGCTTTTGTTCTGCATTCTCCATGCTGGTTTATTATTCTCCTCATTGTGTTGTACGGAGAGAAAAAGCTGTCAGTACTGCAGATGTGGATGTGCACGACTGCTTGAGTCGTTTTCTGAGCCGCAAATGGACGCAGTGTAAAATTAGTTAGTGTCTAATTTCGTCCGAGCATCCGTGTCACGCTGGAAGCTTTGGAAACATTTAGCGATGATTGACATTATGGTTTCTTTTTTTAAAATAGATTAACTATTGCCTTTGGACATATTTTGGGTATGTGCACGCAGTCAGGATCATGCAAAAATTAATATTTGGGATGTAGATGCATCTTTACAATGATTTGCATCCCCGGTAACGTTTGCATTTCATCTATGGATGCAAATCTTGTTCAAATATGTGGGATACACATGCATTATAATAATAATACTAATACTTATAATAATAATAATAATTATTATTATTTCTCTCAGATCATGGGTTGCAATACGTTTCTGAATGCAAATCCTGCTACAAAATGGGACGCAGATGCATCTTCGAAATTTTATTTTATTTTATTTTATTTATTTATTTATTTTTCGCACCAAGCTGCTGTGTGTATGCGCTCGGTTTGCATTAGGCAGCATTTCGGGATGCAACTCACTGTACTGGTTCTCGTCATGTACACCGTTTATCCTTCCGTCTGGCAGCACCTGCAGGTGAAACCCGATGCCCACGTTGCAGTACAGCCTCCGCACTCTCTTAACGCCCATCAAATAGTCGTTGTCCCCCGAGATCCCGAGCACGGAGCGCGCGAACAGCGTTTCCCACCTTGCCTCGAGCGTCGTGGCGTGGGTCCTGCGCGAGGACGCGACCCCGAGCAGAAAGCCCAGCAAGACGATCGCCGTCCGCGCCGTCGCCGTGCTCGTGTGGCGCGCGCTGCTCTCGCGCCGGGGCATGCCGTCGAGGCGCTGCTTCTGCGCAACGGCAACGGCCGTCCGGTTTACCGTCGGCGCACGTGGTCAACGCGAACGGCCCTAAAAATACCGCTCGCCTCGTTTCGCTTCCTTCGCGCGCATGGCGGCAGGGGCTTATTTTTGGAAGGCGGGTCGGGGTCGGGGGCTTCGGGCGCGGCGGAGATCAAGCTGCTCGTGCTGCTGCTGTTGCTGCTGCTGCCGGTGATGATGATGATGATGACCATGTTTTGCTTCTCCGTCGTGCCTCTGTCGACGGAAAACGCCGGTGTGGGGGGAGAGCAGACCAACGGGCTACGTCCTAAACTGCACAGAGCTATATTAAACACGCAGGTCTAGAAGAGTTGTAGGCTAGAGGGGTCTACAGGTGCTTTGCTTTAGGCTGTATTTACATGAAAACACAGCTTACTGGGCTTATAGACTTCTACACTCTGAAAAAAAAGGGTACTAAACTCTGTTGTTACTTGTCGCTGGGGTGGTACCCTCAAA